TCGGCAGTAAGTTACACACCCTGGTTTGTGGAGCATCGGAAATCAAGATTATCAGTTCGAAAATATGACGTAATTGATACGGGATAGAACACACAAATGCATGGTTATGTGCAACGCGGCTTAGTATACCCACAAAACCGATCCTAGTCCAATACCTGGAAGGCATATTTTGTCCACCGTAACCACTGTACCCAATTAGTGCTCTGGGAAAGATAGCTTATAAACATGCTTTAGCCGATATATTAACTGCAAATCCTAAGCTTTTGTACAAGCAGGTAGACAGCCTCCGTAAAATGAAAAATGGTTTTCCCCTCTGACTGTTAATGAAGCATCGAATGTTCTGCAACAACAATATACGTTAATAGTTCAATGCTTCCTGTGGTCTCGTGAATCTTTGGAATCTATGGTGTCCACACCAGGACTCACTCATACATATGTTATGGCACGCATTGTGACGAGAAGGTTGCTATAAATGCGCCTGCACGCCTGTCCAGGAATTAACGACATCCGCCCAAAGACGCTTGCTGTGGCAGCTACTATTTTGGCTGAACCTTTGGTGCGGCTGTTGCAGCGCTGCCTTGTCGAGCAGCACGTTTCTGCAATGTGCAAACAGGGAATAATAAGTTATTTACAAAGGGGGTGGTAGTACTGAGCCAGCTGATTATCGACTAGTGACACTAATGTCAGTTCCTTCAAAAGTTATGGTGGCTATCATTACCGACGCACACATGTTTTATCTTGACGGCTTTGGTTACATTGTTTAGCAGCAAAACGGCTTCCGCCAGAATCGGTCTTGCAAAACCAATCTATTGTTAGCACGAAACAGCTGGACCGAAACAGTGGACGCTAGTGCAGGAGTTGTTGTGGATTACCTTGATTTCTCCAAGACATTCGACCAGTTGGTCCATCGCATTCTTTTGGCCAAATATCAAGGATGTGACATTGCGACCCCTTCATCAGGTGGATCCGCAATTTGCTCTCGCACAGTTGTCTGGAGATGAGAGTACGTGAATCCATGTCAGACCCAATTCACGTCGAATGCGGAGTGTCACAGGGTTAGATTATAGGGCCCCGTCAATTCTTGGCCTTCATAAACAATCTGGTAATTCAAATCGCGTCACACCGTTTACTCTGCACCGATGAAATCAAAGGTTGGCAAGTAACTAGATTTCCAGGGACCATATTTAGCTTCAAGTCGAGCTTGACAAGATTTATAGTTGGTCGGTCCAAAATCACCTGTTATTCAATGTGACAGAATACCGAATGCTCCATTTAAGATACCGAATGGTTCACACATATAAGCTGCGGGACCAGGATCTGCAACACTGTTCTCTCGAAAATGACCTCGGTGTGTTGGTTCAAGAACATTTCGACTGCTCGGAGCAGAGCTTTCGGCAATTCGAACCGTCAATTTTCCGCCAAATACTTCCGCTTATATACGCCTACGTGTTGAATATGCAATTAAAGTACGAACCCATGGCTAAAGCGGGATCTCATGGTCTTGGAGCTTCCAAAACGTCAGGCGACCAAAAACGTCAACGGGCTGTGTCACGTATCATACGAACAGAGCTTCAGAGTACTTGGCACTTTCAGTGGACATTATCGCCGTTTGCGTGATGACCTAATCGTGGTTTACCAAAATTAAACAACACTCATTACCCCTGCTGTCAATTATTGAAGCTGAGTCACAGTAGCCAACTTAGGGGTCATAATCTCAAACTGACTGAACAATACAGTTGGTTGAGTGTCGAAGAATCTTCGTCACGCTGCGTGTTTTCCACCCGTGAAAAACCCTCTCAGATGCTGTTATTTCAGCCTTTACGTTAGCCTTGTTAAAAGCAAGTCTCGACTGTGCACTGGCCAAACTAAACCATAGTACGTAAAACAAACCACCCATACATATAGCAGAAAAACAAAAACCAGCCAATCCACTTCCGTTTTTGCCCGGAAACCGCGGACGATAAATTTGGATATTACATACAACGGACGGGAAAGCTGCAGTCGGTTAGTTCGCTATTTGCAGTTGTTCAAGATTTTCCATTGCCAACTTTGTCTTTATTTTTCTCACCCTCAACCGATCATCCGGCTTGTCATATCGAGCGTTGACCTTTTTTATCCGCAATATACCATCGACCATTGACTACCTACAAAAATACATTATCCTTTCACCGGAGCAGCATGACTTCCGTCAACACCAGTCATGAACCAGCAAACTGTTAATTGCACCAAGTAGTTGGACCGAAGTAACTGATGATGGAGTCGGAGTTGACGTTATCTATCTGGACTTCTCCAAAGTTTCCGACTATATGGATCACCGCATTCTACTTCACAGGCCAAAGAGCTACGGAATCGGTGGTCAAGTTCTTGGTTGGATTGACAACTTTCTTCACCAAAGGAAACTTCAAGTGCGTGTTAAGGAATCAATATCTAACCCAAGTAAGGTAGAATGTGGTTTATTACAGTGTTTTGATCTAGAATCTAATTTATTCCTGGTGCATATCAACGATCTATCAAGAGTTATCTCTACACTTTTCCTACTTTTTGTCGATGAGGTTATGATAAGGCGATTAGTAGCAATGAAGATAGCGATCTATTCCAATATCACCTAGATTATATTTAGGAACGGTCAAAGCGGAACCTGCTTCAGCTGGACATGGCTAAGTGTAAGTTGATCCATCAGCGTCACCAATCGGTGAACGCTTAAAAGCTTGGAAACCACACCTTGCAGGAGGCCTTTCAGGAGGGAGATCTGGATGCATTTATACCGAAAGTATTCGGATACTCTAAACAAGCGGAGAAGTCGTACAGAACCGTCTCTGCAAAATGTCCGGTCTGTTGGAACATTCGATCTACCCCAAACGCTCAATGCCTAGGTTGGACTGCACATGGTATATGCTATCCAGGTGTGGCAGCCGTGGCAGATACAGGATTTTGTTACTCGCGAGACTCCTCAAAAAGGACAACCAAGAACGTCAGGAGCTTCTTTCCTTTGCTCTCTTAGCTTAGACTGAAACCTCTAAGAATATACAGCAGTCGATATCGGCGTACACGGGAGGACCTCATAATGGTTAAGCAGAGTCGGAAAAATCCAAATAATATTTACCCCTTGCTGCTAGAATTGTACCGCAATACTAACCTAAGAGTTCATCCGCTGGATCTGACAATACAAAATAGCCGTGGTGATTGCGGTAGAAATGTATTTTTCCTCCGCGTGTGTCAGCCGTTGAACGCTCTTCTGAAGTATATCCTCTCTGCCCCAAATCTGGTGATAGTTAAAAAAGGAGTTGACGATGCCTTGTCTCATTTGCATTTCCCTGGGGCCACGAAAGGCAATCAAACGATGTCTTACCATACTCCCAACCAATGGATATATGGATGCGTACATTTGCTACTCGGACATCTTCGCTATTCTAAATGAGTCTATGGTGAGTCAACCCAAAAGCTCTTTCCTTTATCATGAAATTCTATTTTTGCGTTAATTGGCATGCCATGGGAATTGTTAATCATTTGTCTATTACCAGTAATACACCATTGTTCTATGGTTCCATTGTAGACCATCTGATTGACAAATGACCCGACGGTTTTATACTGAGGATCAGACAAGACCATATGATGTCTCCTTCGTTACTTACATCGCAGTCCACAGTGAGTGGCTCTTGGTTTGAGCTATTTAGTCATTTATTTAGAGGTTAGTTTGTAAGATTGCATGCTGACGTTTTTATATCAGTAACACGGCGCTCTGTGAGTAAAGATTGTCAAGGCGGATGGAAATGCACAACTTGGATGTAGAAGTGCACAAGAACCATACGCCGATAATCGTATGCAGTTCCTCGCCAATCAAATGCTAACGGTTTTAAATACTTATTTACAATTATCATTTAAGATTTTTGTAGAGCAAGGGCAAGGTACAAATGTTAAATATTTCCTGTTACAGTTAAATAGACAACCTCCTTTCCGGTGATTCATCCTTAAGTCTAATACAAAAAGTTCAGATTGGTAAAATAACAGCGTTGCATAAGCACATACGAAGTTATGTCAACATGAAATACAACATGGAACCATATGGAACACACTGTACCCACGGACGCCACAGATTGCTTATTTGCAGTGTTGGATTCTAATGGTGCTTCCGGATTACTGTGTAGCACGTGTTATTTCTGTATGAACTTCGCACCAAGCTCTTTCTTTTTTTGTATTTTACAATCTGTGCAAATTTGCTGAATATACTCTGCTTATTTTCGGAGATCTTACAGATTGGCCTAACTGCCCTCATTGTCCGCCATCTTAGATTTCTTCTACAGTAATCTAACCTGTGTGGAGCAGTAAGGTGACCTCATGCTGAACCGGCATCATAGACCAACCTCGACAACTGCTACGGTTAAACAACCAATTAATAATCTCTAAGTCAGACAAGGGCTCCCGCATAGTGTTAATGGTGGATTAAATCCATAAAATGCAGCACATCCTCAGAGACGAGAGTAAATTTCAAAAGCTTATGGCAGGAAAAGGCAACACAGGAGAGTTAGAGAAACAGCCGACCGGCTGCCTCAGGCGAATGATGCAAGCCAAACTCATCACGAAGAAGGTATTCGAAAAGCTGAAGAATTCAGGTGGACACCTACCGAGATTATATGGCCTGCTTATCGTTCACAAGGAAGGCGCCCCCATACGCCCAACCTTGAAATGATGGGTTCGCCTCAGCATTTGTTGGCCCAGTGAATGGTGACGAAGCTGCAGCAGTTACGGAATTTGGTTTGCACTTACTGCGTGTAAGACACGTTCGAATTCATGGAGAGGATATGTGAAATCAACCTTGTTAACAGAAGTATAATATCATTCGATGCCCAGTCGCTGTTCACAAACATTCCATTGCTCGAAACCGTGGAAAGGTATGCGAGCTTGTTCGGCAACTGCGTATATACGCACCTTTTCAGGAGAATTTGTTAAAGGAGTCATTACTTCGTTGCACGTTAAAGGTTCAGTTCACATTCAATGATGAAATGTACCGTCATATTGACGGAGTGGCCATGGCATCTCCTTTGGGACCGCTAACGGCTGATAGTTTCATGGCGAAATTGGAAAATGTTCAACTTGCAACGCACATCCGTGAAACCGAAATATACGTAGGGTATGTTGACGACACCCTCGTACTTTGCAAATCCGAAATGCATGCAGAACAGTTGCTGAAAGATTTCAATGGCGTACACGAGAATCTCCACTTCGAATGTGAACACGAACTCGAAAACTGGTTACCTATCTTGGATGTAGAGGATATGCGTATCTCGGACGGATAATGCAGCGGAAAGGTACAAAGAAAGCACACACGGACAGAACAGATAACTAAATAGTGTGCTTGTCCGCTACAATTCTGTTCACATTTTCTATCAGTAGTTCGATCTACTAAATTTTGTCCCGTAAGGCGCAATCAATTCGCAGCAGTACTGTGATGGTTGTTGTGTCCGCGATCATCCAACTTCTCATTCAATTTTAGTCCCGTTATCAGTACTTCGTATGTCATTCACCCCAAAACTGTCATATGGCGTGTGTTCTCAGGCCATTCGAACAACACATTGCACATGAAATCTCTGCTCTGTAAAATTTAATAACAAATTGCTTTATAAGTCCGATGCTTGGATTGCATGAGCACTCAAAAGCTCACCCTTGGTTATTTATATATAATTAGCATGACAAACTAAGGGATAGCTTATCAAACTATGAACGTACACAGCTCCATATTAGTGCTATCGCTTTAAAATGAGTTAAATCCGTCGGTGTAATTATTTTGTTTGTGCGTCTCTTTGGCACCACTAGTTGGTACATAGCGTAGCGTGTTACTAAAATGCCCCTGTTTTGATTATTAGTTCCCACTTAATTCGCACCGGGAAAGAAGTAGTCAAGTGGTAACACTTTATTTTCACCTCATATCTTGCTGATTCTACTAATTAATCATCACGGGCCATTTTGGATATTTCTGGTGAGTTCGTGGCCACTGCTTCTACTTTGGTTCCCTTATGAACTCTGGATGCTTTTTGCTACTGTCCGCTAGATATTACCAAGTCACCATTGAAACAGCGCATTAACCGGCTCTCCAATGAAAAAACTGTTGTTTATCATGCGCAGCTCACTGCAAAGTTAAGTCAGATAATCGATTGCTGTTATGTTCCCACGCGAACTGGCTGAGTGCGAAAACTATTTGGACTGCAGGGGATATTTGAATAAGAAAAAATTAGCCAGCACATTGTTCTTGCATCATACTGTAATTAGACTGCAGTGTTTGTCACAATCTTAACGGCTTGAAGAGTGCTTTAGATCCAGTGAAAGTAACTTGTAATATTCCCATTGCATTCAGATGAATCAAGACCAGAAATCAGTTCAGGGTTAAGAATTCTTTTCGTTATACTCTCGTCAGACCCAAAACTTTTACCTAACAGATGATCCCGGGTAAGCGTCAAATGGGGCTAGGATTGATTTCTAAGGTGTTTGAACGGCCAAGATCGATGACTAAATGCGGCTATTGATGACAAGAAAAGTGCACCAAAGGAAAATTAATACACAAGGTTCAGCAGCCTGAAGTAAATAGGTACATTCACGAAGGGAATTGCGCAACCATATCAGTCGGCCACGGTAGTAGTATTGGCCGTATGAATCCTTGATGAACACATAATTCCGGCTTCAGATGTGGATGTAAATAGCCTCGACAATATACAAGATTTGCTTTCGGAAGCCTTGTGAGAAGCATTCAGGCAGTGCGCAGACGATTTAAAGTCTCTCAGACGCAGTATGGCCACTTTTGAGCAGATGCAACGTAATTGAGCTGTCTGAGGACCTCATTTCGCCTTTGTTAAACCACGCCACGAGGTGCTTGCGAATCCTCTGAGCTAGTCGTCTCGTTGTGTGACCCACGTTACATGCATACAGGAGCATGGGTGCTGATAAACGAGCATTGAGCAGGTCAACCATGACAGACTATGTTTCAAGGGTTTTGCAAGCAATGGCTTGTTGTGGTTAACAATTCTCAAGCGGACTGCGAAATAACTTTTAGCAACTGCATCTTTCAGACAATCGTTGGTCCGTTGAAGAAAAATCTTGTAATATATCTTCCGTGATTAATTTCACGCCAAGTGCCTCTTTGAGCTGTCAAATATGGATATCTAAATGCACCAGAATGGCTTTATCTATCTTATAGCGAAACCTCCAGCAAACCAAATGTAGTGAGGAGTAGTGTAACTTAGCACAACTTTGAAGGCTGAGTCTACTTATATCCGGTGACTAGAGACTAATAAATATTTGCATAGCGAAGTATTTTGCGGCTTAAGCAAGTATATAATTCCAAGGTGGTAAGATTTTTGGCGAAATCAGTTTGAACCCTTCTCGGTACTTGCTCCTTTATTTGGAAATTCAAAACGTTATCAGTGCCTTCTGTCATCGCATTTTCGCATAAATTAATATACCTTATGTGAGTAGGCCCCGGTAGGCCGGGTTTGCATTACTGGAGTTATGGACAAATTTCGCATTCAGTTGATGATGATAACTTGTGCAGCATTGTAACTCCCTTGAGCAGCTGCATTTATACACCTAGTTTTCATCAAGGTGGGTAAATCCCCTTTACCATGTAACTCAAAATATATATTCTTAGTTGTCAGGTGCATTAATTTATTTTGCCCTCACGGCTGGCTGGGTTTCTCCATAAATCTTCGAATATAGCCGTTCGACATAAATGTTGCTGATTAACACTAGCTCATCTGCCAGACAGCCGGCAGAACAAATTCGTACGGGACGACTAACTAGATTACTAACACGTGTTCGTTAGTACCGCACTGGCTTGAAGCGAATAAAATGCAAGTGCTGACCGGACCACGTTGATTTTCAGCAGAAGGACCACTTAATTAATCCATCATCCCTACTGCTGATGAGAATTTCCAGACATGGCAAACAACTATTCAGTTCTACTTCGCACGGAACTCGGACATTAGCATGTGCACAGTTGACACGCTCTACAATGTGTGAGAGCAGTTGCTCCGACAAACCAAAGGCCAAAACATAACCAACAAAGCATTTTTGGTAAGATACCTGCTCAATTTACATAGAAATGCTCACAAAAGACTGGATATCGCTGATAGTCACCAATCAAAGCATTAACAGACCGCACAATGCTACCAGATATCTCGGGTAGAGATAAAAGTATCACGATTCAAACTGAAAGTCAAGTAAATGATCACATGTTGATCGAACGTAAATCGACGACCAAAAAACAGTGAATGTTCACTGGATATAATAAAGCTCTAATGAAGCCACTTCGTCTAGGTTAGAACAGGTGAACCCCAACTGCTAAGATCGGCTAACACTGGTAGATCAAGATGTTTGATGCTGTGGTGACGCAGTAGTTTGTCTCCCCAGTGGGTCAACAGCACTGTAGTTGATGAACAGCAAATGATTGAACACGTGGTGTAGCCGACTAACTAATGAGCAAATGCTTTGGCTTTACACCACGTAAACTAGCTCAAAGCAAAACTGAAACATACACTTCAAATTTATTTCTGCTCTCAGATTTGCACCATGGCTTAAATCGAACCTGACAGGCAACGCCTTGTAAAAGAGATGGCATTGAATAGAGTTAAATAAGTTACAATCGCCTTGATTCATCACAAACGACTCATTAGTAAGTTTAACTTTATTCTGCTTAAGAAAGTGCATTCAGCACGGAAGAGAGGATATTCAGCTGTTCCATATACGGATTGGGCATTGTCAAAAGAATAAACAAAAGCGTTGCCTCATGTGCAGATATTCACCCTCCCAGTGCGTGGTTTTGCTGTGCGCGCAATCACTGCACATTGCGAGCAGCAAAGGTGGCATGACATGAGATTGGGTGAAATCGCGTTACCAGTCTAAAGCTTCTGAGTGTGATGATTTATTGGTTTGACACAGGAAGACAGCATTGACAAATAAACTGCAATGCGCTATGTGCGACCATAACGATTGCGGTAAGGCACTGCTGCAACTAGGAACCTGGTAAGGGGTTAGTGACACTGCGTGTTCTGCTCTGTATGCAATTGTCTTATGCTGGTGTGGTTTGCACACCGAGGACTGGCGCAGCGCCTATGTGGGGTTGATGGAAATGCAAGTCCGTATGCCACAGTTACATTACCGCACCGTGCTCGGTATATGTAGTATGATTGGCTTGTGTTTGACCCTGGGTATTAACTATCCACTGCTCATCGGAGAACTTCTACTTAGTTATCTGCGTTTCTCAACAATTAATTTAGGGAAACAACCTCCCGATTCCTGACCACAGTAGTTGTGCCTACATGTTGAATGTTTCCGCGACCTCGAAAATACTCTGCTCCTCACTTAACCAACAATTAACGCGTGATCCACTAACAGTGCGAGAACTGCAGCTGCCATGGTAATTGCCATGATTTATTAGTAGTCGATACGACAGTCGCGTCGGCGAAGTACAAGCACTAATATAACTACCGAGATTACGGTTGCAGATAGTACCTCCTCGTGTTGCGCAACTTGGAGAGTTGAACTGCCGAAGGCAACCTTGCAAGGCTTTTAAGCAAAAGTAGCGCTGAAAGATAAAAATAATATATCAGTGACATGATGGGGATTTATAGATTCATTAAGTGTATTGCACGCACGCACTTCGCACTGACATGTTCAACCATTTGTTTACAATGGTGCTGCGTAACGCTGGCTCCTGCTTCCGATAATATATATATATATCTAAAGATAAATATATAAATATAAAAATATATGGTTGGCGGCATTCGGTTTCGGATTGACCTGTCAATGTGGCCAGCCACAGGACGCCTGCGCCTACAGATGGACCATGGGTGCCTAGCGCTTCACCATCCACAGCTCCAACCACACACTCCAGATCCAGTGTAAACCCGAGGGAATAAGAGTGGGAGACATGCGGATGGGAGCCCCGTTTCTTTAAATGAGCCAGTCCATGCTCTTTGACAGGCAAACACAAGCACGCTGTAGTTGGGAATGAAGCGCCCACAAGGCGGTGGATGGACCGTAGTCCGCTCCACACTGAGTGCATGAAACCACTCTTCGAGCCTAACACGGCCACAAGGAGCATTCAGCTGTCGCCTCCAGCAACTAACTGTCTCCTAGAGCCAGTGTGGAAGAGGTAGTGGGTAATAGACAGGTAGGCACCTTCTCTACATGCACATCAAACACAGCCATACCTGGGTTGTCAAACAACAGAGAATCACTTGAAATGACAAGATGAACTAAAAAATCAGAAAAGGCA